CCTCACAAAATTAGGGTTATGGGACATGGTAGGTAGAATTGTCTCATAAAGTACACAAATGTTAAGTGAGCATTTTATGTTTTGTCTTGTATTTGAATTTGAAGACTTGGTCAAACTCTAATATACTACACTTGGACCATAGGATTTAAAGAGTATTGCGATTCATTTATGCAAGAGTTGGGCTCTTGGAAAAATACTTGGGCTTCATTTAATAAAAATGAGACTAAGAGGAAATTGGGCCAGATAAATTAAAAGACACTTGGGCCTCATTTTTACTAAAACTTGGGCTAGTTAATTATACTTGGACTCAAAATAAAATTGGACTCGGTTAAACTCGAGAATGTGCCTTGGATAAATTGGGCTCAGAAATGGGCCTTGGGCGCGGGGGGGTAAAGGGCTCGATTGGGTCGAGGAGGTTCAGCCATTAGGCCGAGGCGCCTATGCGCGGCTTGACTTGGGCTTGGGCTTGGCCTTATGGGACGAGTGGCTTGCTAGTTCGGGCCGAGGTCTCGGCTCGACCGGGCTTCGGCCCGTACTAAATAATATTTCTAATTTTTCTAATGCTCGGTTTTAAGTAAAAAATGAACAAATACTTATGCTAAAATAATTTAATTTTTGAAATTTAAAAATCGAACGGATCCTCCATGACTTAGACTTAGAATTTTTATAAATCAATTTAATGCTAATGATAATTAAATGCATCAAATAAATGAAAATAAGACTTGAAATAATTAAAATGTGCTATTTATGGAGCTAAAGTTGAGTTCATAAATACTAAATATGTTCGGGGCGTTACAATGTCTGTCGTGTCGTGAGTCGTGTCTTTGGTTTAGCGCGTTGCTAGTTTCGGTTTTGAGCGGTTTTTTGACCTGTTCTCCCAGTTTATACAGTTGTTGGATGTATTATTCAGCTAGAGGTTGTTTCTTTGTACATTTGTGCGTTTTTTATCTATTAAAATCTCTATCGTTCCAAAAAAAAAATATTATTATTATTATTATTAATTAATTAATTAATAAATAAAAAAGGCCGAATCAAACATGAGTCCCATCGAAAAGCCCAAATGCATGACCCGGCCCAATATAGATGCCGCCTGTTTTCTCCACTCCATCACATAAAATAGTTGCCACAATTTGTAATTCTCTTACCAAATTCAAATTACACACCGAACAGCAGTCTGCTGCTGATGTTTAGTTCTTCCGCTCGTCCTCCGTCCTACTGTTCGAATCTTGAGAAGGTATGTTTTATCGCCTAATTTCGCTCATGTTTTCGGATTTGGGGCTCCGTTTTTCCAATTACCAGTTCATAAGCTTGAAAATTCTTATTTGATCGGAATGAAATGGAAAAAAAAGGGTTTCGGCTTGTACATGAATAATCCACCCATGGAGGCGAACTAAGGCTCTATTTGTTTTGCTGTTTCTTCTGTTATTTGCCACTCATCAGGAGCTTATCGGTGATCGGTAATTAGGTCATAACGGGGATGGATAAGCTCTCGAATTCATTTTCATTACTCGAGTTAGAATCTAAAGATTCTAAGCTGGAAAGTTCAGTTGCCAATAAAGGAATGATGGGTAAATGTTCGAAAGATGAGGCCCTGCTTGAAAATGGCAATGGGGATCAACAAACCGGTGAAACGGCCTCGGGGGGATTTAATATGCCACTTGTCTGGATTGACCTGGAAATGACTGGTGAGATTCAGTAATCTGGGTTATGATTGGGTATTCTATATATGCTATGTGGATCACCTTCATGAACTCTAAAGTGGTTCTTCATACATTTTATTGAAATATAATGCTAAAACGATGCAATTTTTGGTGGCTGAAGTGGTTTGTTTTGCATTTTATATCTTGGCTTCAAAGATTTAAAGCGACTTTTTTAGGTCATTGTCATATTAGCTGATTTAGCAGCCTTTTGCCTTCCTTTTGACTATTATAGTATTACTATATTGCTGTCAACATCTCTCTTAGAAGAAAAGACTTAGATTTCCTCTTTCATCTAGGTGTCAGAGAAGCTGCTCGTGTCCATTCTTGATAGACAAAAATTATTCCTTTCCTTGTTCCAGGTTTGTTTTTCTGTAACCTGTCTCCTCCACCTCTGGATTTCATGCGGATGTACCGTGCTCTTTTTCTCCGATGATAGCTGGTTATGCACATAGATTCTCCCTTAGGATGAGCAAGTAATGTCTAAACCAATGTACTGAGAGAGGGAACATAAGCAACCACTTTTGTTATAATACTATCAGGAGTTGGTTTTTATTTTTATTTTTTCATACATCACGTATTCTTCTCCACCCCTCATCCTATGTTTTGTTGACCTATCCTGCACCATTGCAGATTCAGTGCAGAGGTCAGATAACATCCAAATGTATCTTTATGTAGTTAGGACTTGGTTGTTTTTAAGTATGTATTTCTTTCCATAGATTAAGCATCACCATGTTTTACATCTCAGTTGGAACGGGTTACAAAATTGTCCCTAAAAATTATGTTTTAATTGGGAGCTGGGGCTTTTATTGGTGCTGGTGGTGATAATGATCATAATCAGTGAAATGGGGTTATGATCCTATATTATATATGTGCGTAAGAGTTTCTTGAATTAGGATTTTATTTTGTCAACTGGCTCAAGACATGACCTGTAAAGAGAGATACGGTTCATTTAACTGTCTATGACCCTTTTCCTTCCTTTCTATATTTAGGTTTGAATGTTGAAGTTGATAGAATTCTGGAGATTGCTTGTGTTATCACAGATGGGAATTTAACCAAGTCAATTGAGGTATGTTACCTAGTTAGACACATGCACACATATTATCATGTTATTCTGTTTGCCTGTCTGAGGCTCTGATAATCATGTTGACACAATTGTTCATGTATCTCGTCTTTCCAGTTGTTCTCCTGCATAATTAATTAAAATCTAGTCTTTTAACAGGGTCCCATTTTGGTTATTCATCAAACAAAAGAGTGTCTTGATGAGATGGGAGAATGGTGTCAAGAACATCATGGAGAAAGTGGTATGCCATTATGCAGCTTTTGTTACCTTTCGAGAAATTGAAATATATATGTTAACTAACTTGTGGATTTAGAAAATAATTCCCTTTCCAGTTACTTTGTAATGGGAACATCTCCAATCACTTTGTCCCTTTGTGATGGTTTAAAGAAATTAACACGAATAAATTAATATGTTTGTATTTGACAAAATGTGCAATTTTTAATTTTTTTTTGTATTACTTTGAATAGGCACGCTGATCGGTAAAGTTACACACTTTCATATTTCAATATCAGGAAGATAGTTTCATTGATTTTGAGGCAACATCAATAATGACACAAGTTTTACTGGTTGTCAGGTTTGACGAAGAGGGTTCTTGAAAGCACAATAAGTGAACAAGAAGCTGAAAAGCAGGTAATTGCAACTTGTTACTCCTATAACAGGTTGTTGTATTCATGTCTTGCTTAAAATAAATAGATCCATGCAGTGTTATGAAATGGTGGCCACGGCGTGGCAGATTTCTACCAAACCGCAATGCTAAATTTGTGAAGATTGGCGGTTATGTATATCTAAATTTATCGACCTTTCATAGCCAGATTTATTCTAACAGTTACTTCTGCAGTTTAGCCGGATATTCTGGAAAGCTAGTCCCTTTTACTTATAGGCATGGAACAAAATTTAACAGAGATGTTGTTGCTAGGCTGCCTAACCGTTAGGCAACCATACTTTCTCATAAAAAATGTATACTTGTACTTGATGTCATACTTTTGTCTATGTGGTAATATAAAGTATGACATTGAGTTGAAAGTATGTAAATTTATTGTAAAGTATTGTTGCCTAACCATTTGGCCGTAAAAACAGAAGACTTACCCAAAATTTAATTGTATGAAAAATGTAAATTCAGTAAATGGCCAGTTGATTGGAATTTGAGGCCATTTACTTAGTTTGAAGCATTCATAGGATTAATTACTAACTAGTGGTGTTATCAATGGTGGATGGTGAAAGATGGCGTTTGGTTGAAACCCTTTCACTAATATCTAATATCTAATGGCGGTTTGGCAAAAACCCGCCATGCCATACACCATGGCGGAAATTTGATAACACTGGTTACGAGGGAAACTTAAATACCTGAAGTTCTTCTACTACAACATTTCCACGGGGACCAGCTGGCATATGACCCATTCTAAAAGCATACCTCCATTGAGAATATTACATCCACGACACAACATGCTTTTAGCACAACTACGGGTTTCCACTATAATTTCACGCATTATGTTGGATATTCTGTTTACACATTTTAAAAGTAAATATAAGAATGGAAGAAGCAAAAACTGGGGAGCGCCCAAAGAAAGTTGGATGTTTAATGGATTTCATACTGATGAGTGATGAACCTCTTCCCTTAAAGGTACATAAAGGAGTAACTTATGAATCCAGTTCCATAGTTTCCTCCCACTATGAAATTGATAGAAAATCACCTAAATGGTCAATTGAGTTGTTTGGTTGCGAATTGCCAGAACTAGAAAGAGCATGTAATATTTTTAACTGGATGTGAGTGTGACCAGACCCACGTGTCCATTCACTATTTCTGTTTCTGTTTATCGCTGTTTTGTATCTGATAAATACTTTGTTACATATATATGTGCTAGACAAGTTAGTTGTGCTTCTCAAACATATCTTTATTTTCCTGCTTTTTGAGCTGTATAGGTCATCAAATTTGTGAAGAGACATGTGGGCTCATATAAACTTCACATAGCGGGAAATTCTATCTACATGGATCTTCTATTTTTAAAGGTACAGAAACTTCTTGCTTTTTACTATATCAATTTGATAAATTTAAGTTTTTCTAACCCATATAAATGAATCTGTACGACATACACCACCTGAGATATGGCATTTGTGCAACTTGAGAACTATGTATTATATTTAACTAATATTTTCTGAGGAAATGGGCGTGAACACAAAAGACTGGCACGGCACTTTTGAATTGTAGTACTGTGCTATGAATCGCAAACGCTGTACTATTTTCATTTTTTGTTCTGTACAATCAGTTTGATCAGAAAATTTGGATATCTAGTGAGTAAACAGTTTATCTTATCCTCAGACTTTTAGGATTTTCTGGCTATAAAAGTTTCTTGTTTTCATATTTTACTGTAATTTGCGTGCAGAAGTACATGCCAGATTTGGCTGCCCTTTTCTCCCACGTCATCGTTGATGTCAGCAGTGTCAATGCATTGTGCCTACGTTGGTACCCAAGAGGTGATAAAATTCTGCCTTCAATTTAAACAAATGATATTCTTGCATTCTATTTTGTGTGCCTATTTTAGTGTGTTTGCTATCCTAGTCAAAGTAATGTTGACACGGACGTGAAATGTGTCGTCTTTTGCCAGACAAGCGAAGGGCTCCAAAAAAGCGGAACAAACACAGAGCAATGGATGACATCAAAGAAAGTATAGCCGAGCTTAAGTTCTACAAGGAGCACATATTCAAATCCAAATCGAAAAAATGAAAGAGAGGCTGCATTTTGGGTTGCTAACTTGCAAATCTCTTGCTAGCCAACCTTCGCTATCTGGAATCTGGATGACCGTGTCCTTAGAAGAAAAGGAAAAATGTATTTCATGGTTCCCTTGTTCTGAATTAAAATATGGGTTGTAATATATGATTTCATGGTTCCCTTGTTCTGAATTAAAATATGGGTTGTACTATATGTGGTCTGTAGTTTGGATGTGTGAAGTCTAGAAAACCAGCATGTAACTATTTCAATTAATCTGGTCATGCTCTGGATGAGCATTTGGTTCAATTTCTAGCTCGATTTTAATATTTTATCGATCATTTTATTCCCGTATTTTCCCCGGATGCCTAACTTCACTAATTTTGAGGGATTTTAGTTTTAACAATGTTGGGTATAAGATGCCTGAAAAGTTGCTTGCTCAGCTACATTTAAAGTTTAAAACTCTCACATAAGTCGGGGAGAATACTAAACATAAATGGTGAACTATATATGCTCGAGTATTTTATTAAAAAAATAAAGGAATGATCAAGAAATTATTTATAATCGTTGAATACTAAAATTAGGATCCTGGAGATACTGAGAATTGGGGCAGAAACTGGTGAACAAACTCTTTGAATGTTAGTTGATTGAAGCATAGATACTATAAGGTTGTGTGAAAAATTGACAAACATGTATCAATGGCACTTGTCTAATGACATATATTAACTTCACTATGTATGCAGCGACTCAGTTGCTCTGGCCACAACATACAAGTTTTAGACATCATTGATCCGTTTAATGGCCATTTAAATGGAATGCTATTCCATCAGCCAAATTCATTAAAATTAAAAGGCAGTGGGCCCTATGTTTGCCATTCATGGCTCGTTTACTTTAATCGATGAGATTTGACAATTTAATCCCATCACCATCAACTTTACACGTCAGTTTGTATTCAATGTTTAAAAACATGATGCATTTGAAGGCAAAAACAATCAAACGTTTGCTAACCTGGATTAAATGACAAGATTATTAAAAAAAAAACCAAACATGAGGTGGATTTCTAAGGGTAAAGGAACATTTCAGATGACAAATTTTGGACAAAACGGTCATTTCTAAGGTGAGATTAAAATGTCCCACTCTCATGACTGTGCAAAATAATCCTGCAAATCGTGCATAGGAGTGTGAGACCCACAAAACACATCAGCTTATTATCCAATCCCATCATGATTAATAAACGTTGGATAACAGAAATTATCTAACCATATCATACCTATCAACTTAAGTAAGCAGGTCTCGATGAATTAAATGACTTTTGATGATATAGTGGTCGGCCCATTATGAACATATATTAATATTTAAATGTATTAAAAGAGATCAAGTGAGTTCCACGTGTGCATTTAAATTATTTAACAAATGTGATATAGTGGTGGACCCATTATCAACAACAACATATATTGATATTTAAATGTATTAAAAGAGATAAAGTGGGTCATACGTGTACATTTAAATGATTCAACAAATGCGAAGAGTGTGTAAATGGAAAGACGTTTACTGGAACGCTGGTGTAGAAATGTAGATGAGAGATATTGTATTTGGTGATTAAATGAATGATAAGGAATGTAGATGTCCTTAGAGGATCAAAGGTTTCATATATTAGGCTAACTTGGTAGACCTCGTGTAACGCCCCAAATATTTGGAAGTATTTATGGAGCTCGGCTTTATTTACATAAATAGCAAATTTTCTTATTTGGTGCATTATTATTATTTTTATTAAATCGAGTATTAAATACTAGTATAATCCATGGAGAATTTATTCGATGTTTTAATTTAAAAATTGAATTTAACTAGCCCAAGTATCAATTTTACTTTTAAGATGAAACCGAGCTTTGGAAAAATCATAATTTTATTTATACGAATTATTTTCAATAAATAGATAAAATCCCAAGATCAATCCCTAAAGTCGGGCCGAAGCCCAGACGAGCCGAGTCTCGGCCCAATCATTTTAGAGCAATCCCAATATTTCGAGCCTAAATGTCGGTCATTATATTCGAGCCATTTTATTTCGGCTCAAGTAAGCCCAACAACCGAGCCCATCATTTTTAGCTATTCGGCCAGAGAAATTATTGTTATTCCAAGCTTCGGTATATTTTTTTTAAGCCCAAGTCTAATATACTTTTTTTAGCCCAACTTCTTTTAGTCCAAGTCCCATTTTATTTTATTAGCCCAAGTCCAACATTTATTATTTTGGCCCAACATTTTTCCCAAGCCAAGCCATTTAAATTTTGGCTTATCCTACTTATATTATGGCCCAAGATGTTATAGGATTAATGTGGACCAAGTATTTTTATAATAAAAAATTCAATACAAGGCAAAAGAGCATTAAATGCCCCTACTTAACTCCACCTACCATACACTCTTCAAATCCTAATTTCCTAAGCCTATATATATATATATATATATGTAGAGATGTTAAACGGGCCAGCCCTAGCGGTTTCGGGCTAGCCCTAGCGGGCTTCGGGTTAAACGGTCCAGGCCAAAAAAGCCCGAATTTAAACGGGCTACCAAAAAAGGGACCTAACCCTAACCCTAGCGGGTATCGGGCTAAACGGGCTATGCGGGCTATAATAATAATAATAATAATAATAATAATAATAATAATAATAATAATAATAATAATAATAATAATAATAATAATAATATATAAAAAAATAAAAAATAGA